GAATGGCCGTGATCCATTTAAAGTGCTCTTGTCATAATGCAAATATGTAGGCTGCCAAGGCTTCTCGTACAAATCCCTCTGCGCTGGCTGATCCAATGGCTTTAATAGTTTCTTAGTTACTAAGCTGAACAAGTACAGAGATCAGGAATTCCAACATAAACCAGTTGTAAACCCGCATGCTCAAATCTATGTAGAAAATGTCCGTGTGCATAAAAGCCAGCAATAAATATCAAAAAATGCTCCTATTCCACAGCAGAGGTGATAACTAGTATTTAATATGCCAACATCTCTTACAAATATCCACACTAAAATGCTTTTACATACCAATGAGGCACAAATCTCAGAGGTTCCATAAAACTGCCTTTTATTTGTTCATAAATAAAAATGTATTCCTAATTAACCCTTGCCTACAGGGCACTTCTACCCCCTTCCTGCCCAGGCCAATTTCCAGCTTTCAGCGCTGTGTGCCACTTTGACATGACAATTGTGTGACGCGGTCATGCAACACCGTGTACCCATATGAAATTTTTATCATTTGTTTTGTAACAGACAGAGCTTTCTTTTGGTTGGGTGGCATTTAATCACCACGGGGGTTTTTTTTTTTTCTTAAACCAAAATGTTTTTGTTGTAAAAGTTTGTAAATAAGTGATTTTTCTTTCACTGATTGCGCTAATAAGGCTGCAGTGATTTTTACTGATAGGCTGCACTGAGTTTTTGTAAAGTGGCACTGATGGGCATTGACAGGCATCACTGATGGGCACTGTAAGGCTGGCACTGATATTTCATGGCACTGTTATGGCGGCACTGAGGCTGGCACTGATAGGGAGGCACTGAGGTGGCACTGATAGGCCCTGCAGCACTGACTGGCACTGATGGGTGACACTGAAAGGCAGCTAGATGGGCACTGATTTATGTGGCATCATGTGGCACTGGCAGCTGGCACTGATGGCACTGCACAGGTATACTTGTGGGGCACACTGACATCAGGGTACATGATCATCAGTGCCCTGATGAATCAGTACAGCTCAGATCCGCGGAATGCACGATATAAGGCATCTTCTCTCCTCTTGAGCTGCAGCGTGGCAGCTGGAGGAGGAGAAATGCCGACATTTCCTTGTTTACAGGTGGCACTTCTTGGACACAGCTGATCACATCCCGAGCCGACTTTTTCAGCAGTGTAGATCATGATCACTGTGTCCGAGGGACACAGTGCTCACAGTCTTGTTAACGTCAGCCGATCGCCATACTGCACGCTCCTTGAGCTGCGCATAAGAGAATGGAAGACTCACTATGACGTCCTCCCCCCTCAGGACGAAAGACCACCTTGCACCCGTCATTGGACTAATGGCGGGTGGGAGGTTAAAATGATCTCCTATGTAAAATATTTTTTGTATGTAATCTGTGACAGCGTGACCAAGCTCTATATGAAAGCACTGTAGTGTTAAAAATGCTCTTAAAAAAGCCTTATTTTTTTCTTTTTTTAAAGGTTCGGTAGGGCCGTCTTACTCTTTCTTGGCTCTGCATGGTCCTGATGGTAGGCAGGAACAACCAGTAGCACATTACCCTTCAGATTTCCAGCTGCCTACATCACAGTCAGCGCCCCCTGATTGGGGCAAATAATAGCATTGGTTGACAGTGGCCCCTCTAGAGAGTCTTGATATCTTTGCCAGAAACGGCAGGGCAGGCTTGAGGAATGTTTGGTAACAAAGTCAGGGTGCTGTGCTGTGGCTTGGTCGCACCCTCTGGGTCATGTAAAACAAGCCATAGACCCATGGAGCATGTGCAATGTGGCAGCACCGCTGCAAAGGATACAATAACCTAGAGATCAATACCACTGAGGGCAAGGAAGAGGAAGTCACTGGCAGGATCAACAGGTGTTCTCATTAAAAATCAGATTGTGAAAAGGAAAGGCAAACAAATGTGAAGGCTTCAATTTGTATTTGAGGTTACAAAAATTAGGCCAGATAATTTTATTAATGAACACAAAGCTTAAATAAAATGTGTTTTATATTTTCCTGGAGTTCAGTTTGCAAAAACTAAAAATATCAATTAGGGATCTTTCACACTGGCGACTGGGTGTGGTCAAAACAGACGGCTGAGCTGCAGTTTTACTGCTCCCCAGCCACCAACTGCCATTCGAACATTACAGCCTGCCAGGGCTGTATACCGGCCATGTAAATACAATAATAAGTGCAGCGCTACAATATAATAAAAGACAAAAATTGTGAATTGCAAAAATGAAAGTGTGTGAAAAAGTTCATATATCGGCCATGCCCGCAATGATTTGCTTTGCAGCCCCAGCAATTTTAACTTGGGTGGCAGAATTGGACATGGGCACTTCCTGTCAAACTTGCCCATTGAGATCAATGGGGCTGCATCACACAACTGTGACCCAAAGACTTGGCTCAGGTTGTTGTGCAGTCCCACAATGTAAAAATTGCAATTTAGTAATTAAATAAAAAAAAAAAAAAAAAAAAAAAGGAGTCAGGAGGTGGTAGCAGTAGCGCCACTTAAATATTTTTATAATACAGGATTTATATAGCGCCAACAGTTTGCTCAGCGCTTTACAATATAACGGGAGACAATACAGCAACAATACAGTTCAATACAAGAGGGATAGGAGGGCCCTGATCCTTGGAGCTTACAATCTAAGAATACATGCCATCTGCTGCTATATCCACCCTCTGAAAAGAAATCCACTGTGAATCACTTTTGTGTGGGTGGTCAGCATTACTGCTTCTCTGAAAGAGCCCTAACAGAAACGCAGGTCTTTTACCCATCCCATATGAACAGCTATCCACTCTCCCATAGTGCTGTAATGTTAGAACATCCTCAGGCTATCCAAGCCACCCCTAACAAAGCTGGCCATACACCAGTAGAAATTCTTTCATACAGATATTCTAAAAATCAGAGCATTTGGTCTTGCCACCATTATGTCAACTCATTTTGTTTGAAAACCCTTGATTTCATCCACACCTGCTACGTAAATGGAATCCCAGATGTATTGAACAGGTTAGAAAACGCTCATTACAATATTTATGATTTTTCCCGCATGAAAACCACATTCACAGTTTAGAATTTCATTAGAGATACATTTTCTATCTTGCTCCTTTGAATTTTCTTGCCTGGCTCCGGCTCAAAGTGCGGAAGGGAAGTGTGTACCACCAAAGATATTACCAGGACCAGGGGTGGACTGACAACTTGGGGCCCCCCGGGCAATAGGGGATCATGGGGCCCTGTCTCCTTGCCCACACTCAAACCACACATAAAAAAGGTACCAGGGGCATTTCATGGGGCCCCCTACTGACCCCGGGCCCTTGGGCCGTGCCTGAACCAGGACCACTGAATTAGTAAGCCTTCATGTAACGGCGCCGAACCCACCAGATGAGAGCCGGTGACCAAACAGCTCATTTTTGTTCAAGTATCACCGTATTGTACTCCTTGAAAGCAACCACACCATCTTTTTCCAGAGCAGCCTGTATTTCTTTGAGGTTGCCTGTGGGTTTCCCTTAGTATCCCAGACAATTCTTCAGTCAGTTATGGCTGCAATCTTTCCTGGTCTACCTGACCTTGGCTTGGTATCAAGAGATCCCCAAACTTTCCACTTCTTCATAGGTGATTTAACAGTACTGATTGGCATATTCAAGGCTTTGGACATCTTTTTATGTCCTTTTCCATCTTTATAAAGTTCCATTACTTTGTTACGCAGGACTTTTGACAGTTCTTTTCTGATCCCCATGGCCCAGTATCTATCCTAGTCAGTACTTTCAAGTAAAAGCTAACAAACTCATTGACTATTTATACACTGACACTAATTGCAATTTAAAAAGCCACGGTTGTGGGACATTAACCTCTAATTGGCATTTTAACCATGTGTGTCACCTTGTGTGTCTGTACAAGGCCAAATATTCCAGAGGAGGGAAACTTTTGATCCGGGCCATTTGGGTGATTTATGTTATTCTGATTTAAAAAGGAGCCAAACAACTATTTTATAAGAAATGGCTTCATATGATCATCATCCTTCAATAAAAGAACATTTTTTGGCATAACCAGTCATATTTTCAATATCAATGCCAAAATTTCACAATTTCCGCCAGGATATGCAAACTTTTGAGCACAACTGTATATGGCACTGATAGGCAGGCACTGACGGGCACTGCTAGGTGGCAGTGACTGGCACTTAGATAGGTGGCACTGATGTGGCATTGATGTGCTCTGATAGGAACTGATATGTGGCACTGATGGGTACTGACAGGTGGCATTGATGGGGCTACACTGATGATCAGTGCCCTGATGATCAGTGTACATGTCCCCTCTGAGGAATGCCAATTACCGGCTCTCCTCTCCTCTCCCTGTCAGCGTGACAGCTCATGAGGAGAGGAATGCCGATAACTGGCATTTCCTTATTTACATGTGATCAGTTGTGATTGGACACAGCTGATCACATGACACAGAACCAATGTCATCAGCTCTTTCCGCTAATTGGTGATCCGTGGGACACAGCGGACACAACTGACCACCGATCGCCGCGCTGTTAGAGTGGGAGGACATCATAACCACCGCCCATCCGTCATTTCCTTATAGGGTGGGCGGAAGGCGGTTAACTACCACCTTAGTCAGCCACAGAACCCATGTAATTCATATGTGTTCAGGTTTATAAGAATGAGGTGGCAACCCTAAGGGGGGGGGGGGCGAGCCCTAAACCCAGAAGCAGGCAGTGACGTTGATTTGCCTGCGTGCGCCCCCAACCCAGAAGAGCTGGATCACATGTCAGATATGTGATCCAGCCCAGAGCGGCCCGCCCTGCAGCAGTAGATCTGCACGGGGCGCTTCACATGGGGTGCTCCGCAAGGGGCTATACCAGGATATGCTGCATTAATAAATGCTTCAGCTGACAGAGGACATCATTTTATATTATAAAGCACAAAGAAACATTTTTCATTTAATGGCTCTTTATATCCTCATTGCAGAGGTTTACAAGCACTTTACGTTCACAAGACGCAACAAGTCCACACTGGGGTTGATTCACTAACACTGGAGAGTGCAAAATCTGGTGCAGCTCTGCATAGAAACCAATCAGCTTCCAGGTTTCAAAGCTGAATTGCACAAGCTGAAGTGAGAAGCTGATTGGCTACCATGGGTTGCTGCACCAGATTTTGCTACTCTCCAGTTTTTGTAAATCAACCTCTGTGCTTCTTGATAGATCAACAGGTATGTCTGTTCTTGCTGAAAAATGTTCTTAGCCTGATAAGTGACACAAAATATCTTTATTTTCCAAAAATAATCCATAAACATCCGCTAATGGCCCTCCAATCTATGTTTCATGAAGACACTTCTTACTGTGTTTTTTCTGCTGCTGCCCCCTTTCAATGTTCTTTGTGAGCTCCCAAGCCTCTGCTTTCCCTCTCACTTCTGTTACTATTACTATTATACAGGATTTATATAGCACCAACAGTTTGCTCAGCGCTTTACAATATAACGGGAGACAATACAGTTCAATACAAGAGGGTTAGGAGGTCCTTGGAGCTTACAATCTAAGAGGGAGGGGCTAGTGGTACAAAAGGTAGTAACTGTGGGGGATGGACTGGTAGGAGGAATAGAAGATTCCATTCTTAGCTGAGGGCAGGATAGGCTTCTCTGAAGAGATAAGTTTTCAGAGATCGCCTAAAAGTGAGCAAAGTAGGCTATAGTCTGATCAATTGGGGTAGAGAGTTCCAGAGGATGGGAGAAGCTCTGGCAAAGTCCTGGAAATAAGCATGGGAGGAGGAGAGAGCAGGAGGTCATGCGAGGAGCCGCGAGTACTGTTTGGGTGATATTTGGAGACTATATTTATATGTTATTGTTAATGTTTTGAATTTTATCCGTTGGGCAATGGGAAGCCAGTGGAGGGATTGGCAGAGAGGGGTGGCAGATACGAAATGGTTAGTAAAGTGGATGAGTCTGGCAGCAGCAGCATTCATGATAGTCAAGGCGAGAGTTGGTTTGGAATGATCAGTGCACGTTGGTAGCAGTCATGATCTGTACTGCTCTATGCATACTACACATCTCATAGTCCACTTTAGAGGTGAGCAAGAGAGGGTGGCTACGTTTGTACATACTGTTGGACCATGGAGAATGAACGTAGCCACCCCCTAACACAATGTCAGATCATAACAGCAAAAACAAAGGGATTTGGAGGAGACTGAGAGAAATAGAGAATAATTTTTGATGTTACAAAAATATACTTGAATATAATGTTTTCTTTTATTGTCACTTACAGATCGGAAACTGCAATTTATTAAAATGTTGTTTATGGGTTTCCATACATTTTACTTCCCCAATTAACATGACATTGCAATCTTATGCTGCAGTATATATATTTGACCACTAGGTGGTAGTTTAGTCCTGCTGTTGCCATATCAGAAATTTGTGTCATAGAAACAGAGAATAGTGATGGCAGAAGAAGACCAAGTAGTCCATGGAGTCTGACGTTTTTTTTGTTTGTTTTTGGGGGGGTTTGTTTGTTTTTTTTGCTTTGTGTTAGTTTGTTTTTTTGTTTTGTGTTTCTTTTTGTGTTTTTTGGGGATGTGGGGTTGTTAGGTTTTTTTCATTATTTTATTTATTTTTTTTTTTTTTTATTTTGTTTTTGGGGAGTTTTTTTGGTTAACTTTTTTTTTGTCTGAGTCTAGATCTATGTTTGTCCCACACATGTTTGAAGCTATTTACTGCTGACTAGCTCACTACCTCTGCTGGAAGTTTATTCCAAGCTTCAACTACTCTTTCAGTAAAATAGTACTTTCTGAGAATAGTTTTGAACTTTCCTCCAGTTAGTTTAAGGTCATGTCTCCGTGTTCTTGATTTTGGTTTTGTGTTGAAAATTCTGCCCTCCTGAACCTTATTCACCCCCTTGATGTATTTAAAGGTTCCAATCATGTCTCCCCTTTCCCTTTTTTCCTCCAGACTGTACATGTTAAGTTCCTGAAGTCGCTCTTGATATGTTTTATCCCCCCCAGACCTTTCACCATTTTTGTTACCCGTCCCTGGAATCGTTCTATCTTATCATTATCTTTTTGTAAGTGAGATCTCCAGAACCGGACACAGTATTCTAACTAAGGATCAGTAGTGTCAATAGGGAAAAGGCAAGAACCTGCCAATACATTCCACATAGGAGAGGTCTGCTGGCCTCCACACAACCATCCAAAAGGGTACCAAACAAATCTTCCCACATAGGGAGCATGGAATATGGAAAAAACATAAAGTGCAGACCAAGTGCTCAACAATTCTTCAACCACAGACATGAGCGTTCACTTGTAAATGATCCACTTGTGGCGTTCAGCCTCCTCCAGGTACCAAAGGTTTTAATTTAAGAAACACCTTACTAGGGCCCAACCTGAACTGCCTTCAGGTATACGCCTTGAGTCTTGGTTTACGCACATGGAAGAAAAATATATTTGAAATATATTTTAAAAATACTCTTCCCAAATATATTTGACATTTATTTGAAATACTACAATTGTGGCCGTTTTCAATATATTAAAAAAATATATATAATATATAATATATATATATATATATATATATATATATTGCATGTTGAAATGCGTTTCTTATATATTACAAAATATATTAAAAACTTTTTAAAAGTATATATATATTTTTTAAATATATTCTTCAAATTTTTTTTAACATATAATAAAGTCATTTTAATGTATCTTTTTACATATATTTGTAAATGCATTTCAAAAATGTAGATTAAATGTATTTCTAAATACATAGAGTATATTTGAAAATGTATGTTTTAAAATATTTTTCATATATTTTGTAGTAAAAATGCATTTCAACATACAGTATATTTATATATTGAAATATATTGAATATGGCCAAAATTGTAGTATTTCAAATATATGTCAATATATTTGGGATGAATATTTTTAAAACATATTTAAAATATATTTTTCTTACATGTGGGATACACTGATTAGCCATAACATTATGACCAACCACCATGACCCGTCGAGGCATGGACTCCACTAGATATCTGACGGTATGCTGTGGTATCTGGCACCAAGCTGTCAGTAGCAGATCCTTTTAGTCCTGTTAGTTATGAGGTGGGGCCCCCATGGATCAAACTTGTTTTTCCAGCAGATGTTCGATTGGATTTACATCTGGAGAATACGGAGACCAAGTCAATACCTCCAATTGTGTTCCTCAAACCATTCCTGAATTTATCAGACTAGGCCACCTTCTTCCACTGCTCTGTGGCCCAATTATGGTGCTTATGTGCCCACTGTAGACACTTTTGTACATGGGCACCCTGACTGATCTGCGCCTACACAGCCCCATACACAACAATCTGACCATACACACCTTTCTATCAGAACCGGCATGAACGTTTTCAGCAGTCTGAACTACAGTAGCTCTTCTATTGGATCAGACTACATGGGCCAACCTTCCCTACCCATGTGCATCAATGAGCCCTGGCCACCCATGACCCTGTTATCACTTTCACCGGTTTTCCTTCCTAGGACTACTTTTTCCCGGTCCTGACCACTTCAGACTGGAAAAATCCCACAAGAACTTCAGTTCTGGATTTATTATTTATTGGATGTATTTATTATTTCAGGTACTTATATAGCGCTGTCAGTTTGCACAGCACTTTACATACAGTTGTGTTCAAAATAATAGCAGTCAGACATCACTAACCGGATCAATCACTGTTTTTGGTAGAAATGATATTTCTACATGGCAAATAATTTACTAGCAGGTGTAGTAGAGTAATAGAAATCCAACAGACCCAACAGTCATGACATGCATGCTGCTGATTCTGTGTAATTGAATCACTCATTGAAAGGGGCATGTTCAAAATAATAGCAGTGTGGAGTTCTATTAGTGAGGTCATTCATTCTTTGAAAAACAGGTGGCAATTATTGCCCTTATTTAAGGAAGGAAGGCAGCAAATGTTGTACATGCTGGTTACAGTGCATTTCTCTCTGAAATTCTGAGGAAAATGGTCGTTCCAGACATTGTTCAGAAGAACAGCGTACCTTGATTAAAAAGTTGATTGGAGAGGGGAAAACATATAAAGAAGTGCAGAAAAATGATAGGCTGCTCAGCTAAAATGATCGCAAATGCTTTAAAATGGCAACCAAAACCTGAAAGACGTGGAAGAAAGCGAAAAACTACCATTCGAATGGATAGAATAGCCAAAATGGCAAGGACTCAGCCAACAATCAGCTCCAGGAAGATGAAAGAAGGTGTAAAGTTCCCTGTAAGGACTGTTACAATTAGAAGACGCCTATGTGAAGCCAAGCTATCTGCAAGAAGTCCCCGCAAAGTCCCACTGTTGAAAAAAAGACGTGTGCTGAAGAGGTTACAATTTGCCAAAGAGCACATTGACTGGCCTAAAGAAAAATGGCGCAACATTTTGTGGACTGATGAAAGTAAGATTGTTCTTTTTGGGTCTAGTGGGCGGAGACAGTTTGTCAGACGACCCCCAAACACTGAATTCATGCCACAAGACACTGTGAAGACAGGGAAGCATGGTGGTGCAAGCATCATGATATGGGGATGTTTCTCATACTACGGTGTTGGGGGGACCTATTTATCGCATACCATTCTGCATCAACAACACATGGACAGTGTTTACATGGATTCCAATGGTCCCAGTTCACACCAGTGCAGTGCGTTCCAGTCCATTCTTCCCCTCTATTCTTCTCAATGAAGGGCATGTGCATTCCAGTGCGTTTTTGATGCTTTTGTTGACCGCACTGGAACGCACTGCACTGGTGTGAATTGGGACCATTGGAATCCATGTAAACACTGTCCATGTGTTGTTGATGCAGAATAAAAAAGCACTGGACGGCATGTGGTGTGAACCAGCCCTGTATCAGAGACCCTGTTCTGTTTTCAAATGCCACTTAATGCATTAATATACCTTTTTAGACCCAGTCTGTCTGGACAGTATGGTCACCTGCTGACTTGGCACCATCCACAGGCAGCTTAACTCTTCAGTGAGACACAGAAGTTGATTCCAAAGCAATTTCGCTTCAGCTAGTTGCAGTACAGAAGATGTTTTTCACATCTTTTGAAGTGTAAAAAGAAAATGGGGTAGATTTACTAAAACTGGAGCACTCAGAATCTCATAGCCAATCAACTTCTA